TCAGGCCCTGAGTTCAAGCCCCAGGACTCACACACACACACACACACACACACACACACACACACACACACACACACACGGTGTTTTCCCATTGTCTTACGCCGTTCCGATGACAAAAGAATCCAACCAGTTCCAAGGGTCTCTGAGGAACGAGAACTCATCCAGGATAAAACCTCTGGCCAGTATTTTTATTATGGCTTCCAGAATGTAAATCCCTGTGAAAATGTATCTGTCCAAAAGAAGAGAGAACGGGAGAGATAATGGCGGGAGAGGGGGGGACACGCAAGCGGTCCCTCCGCCTGATCTATTTCAATGAAGAATCAAACATCCAGGCCTTGGACAGAAAGCACACTTCAGGAAACGCAGAACCTTCCAGAGAGTTCTAGAATGTAGGGTTTTTGACAGACGGGCACCGCAGCCATAATTTTTTTCTTTGTTCTCCCCCACACACACACACTTTTGGGTCCAGAACTGAGGCTGGAACTCGAATTCTTGGCTTTGGCCATCAGGGATGGGCGCTCTACCACTTGAACCACACCTCCACTTCCTGCTTTGGGCTGGTAACTTAGAGCTGAGAATCTCGTGGATTTGCTTTTTTTGTCTTCCCCCTGCCCAAGATGGCTTTGAACTAACAAAAGCCTTCAGATCTCAGCCTAGTGATAAAGTAGGGTTACAGATAGGAGATCTCAGGAACAAAATAATCCTGGGGGGGAAAAGAAAGTTGAACCTGGGCACCGCCAGTGGCTCACGCCTGTCATCCCCAGCTCCTCAGGAGGCTGAGATCTGGAGGATCGCAGTTCAAAGCCAGTCCCTGGTCAAGGGGAAGTCCGTAAGACTCTGATCTCCAGTGAACCAGCAAAAAGGCAGGAGTGGAGCTGTGGTTCAAGTGGTGGAGCACCCAGCCTTGAGAGGAGGCGGAAAAAGCTTTAAGGACATTGTCCAGGCCCTACGATCAGAATAAGGAAGGAGAAATGAATACTTACTCGGCAGTATTGGAGTTTTTGGAGCGAGCCATGAACACACAGTTGACGATCACAGTGCAGATAATAAACATGCTGAACAATGTGGCAGGTCGTCCATTAAGGCAGACACAAAGCAGGAGGAATTCTCCCTCCCTGGCCTTCCATTTCTACCCTATGTCTGTTCTCAAACGGGTGAAAGTTGGCTGGGGAAAAAAAATCATAACTCCACACCCAACCCTTCCTCTAGAAAATGTATTTTTTGGTGTCTGTACTGAGACTCGAACTCAGGACCCGGGGCCCTTGGGTTTGGGTATCTATCTGGTTCCAAGTAAAGGCCGGGCGAGGCGTGGTGCCTCACGCCCATCATCCCAGGTACTCCAGGAGGCTGAGATCCTGAGGATCGTGGTTCAAAGCCAGCCTGGGCAGGGAAGTCTCTTCTCTCCAATTAACTACCAAAGGGAAAGAAGCAGAGGTGGAACTGTGGCTCAAGTGGTAGAGCACCAGCCTTGAGTGTTTGCTTCCATGGGACCAATCCGGGCACGCCATGAGAGCAAGGATATGAGTGCACGGAGATCTGGATGGCAAGGCTCCGCACGGGGTGGAACGGGCCCAGGATGAACAAGGCCGGCTTGGCGCTGAAGCGGTAGATCGTCCTCTTCTTGTTCAGTACCATGAACGTCTGCAGGTGAGCGGAGCACAGAGCAAGATGCACCCACCCGGGTCCCCGGGCACCCGTGGCTGCCCCATGCCTCCTCGGGGAGGAGGCTGAGATCTGGAGGATCGAGGTTCCAAGCCAGCCCAACCCAAGGAGACTGATCTCCAATGAACCAGCAAAAAAACAAAGAGCTGGACCTGGCGGTGGCTCATGTGGTAGAGCGCCCACCAGCCGTGGATGAGAAAGAGCTCAGGGACAGTGCCTAGGGCCTGAGGGTCAACACACACACACACACACACACACACACACACAAACACGAGCTTCCTGACCAGCTGTGTGTGGCCTGGAACTCATGGCCACGTACCAGCTGGAGCTGTGACTTGGGTGGTGTCGTACCTGGCAGGCTCTGCATCCAGAGCCTCATGGAGACGGGCTGGGGCTTTGAACTCGGGGCTTTGGGGATGGGATGTTGTTTATTTTGGTTTTTGCTCCAGGCGGGCGCTCGACCACCTGAGCCACAGTGCCGGGTCTGGCTTTGGCTTTTCTTGGTGGTGGCTGGGAGATGTGGAGGCCTTGCTGGCCTGGCTGTCTGGGCCTCGTGCGGGGGTCCTCCGGCCTGGGCCTCCCTCCCGATCCCGGGGTCCCCCCCTTCCCCGGTCCCCCACCTGGTGCGTGCGGTAGAAGGGGTCCAGGTCCTCCAGCGGCCTGGCCACCAGCTGGCTGGGGACGTCGCCGTAGAGCCGGGGCAGCCGCCGCGAGGCCTTGAGGTCGAGCTG